TCGTGGTGCCTTGGAGAAATGTTTTCAATTATTGACTCTCTTCTGTTTCCCCGTTTCAAGCGCGCAATATACCAGACCCCAATCGAAGGCAATCTAGTGGGAGATACAAAGAATTTTTGGAAAAAAAGACCCGCTGAGTAGTGGCACGAAGTAGGGAAAATTCGGAAAGGTGGTAAGAGGGTTGGAACATGGGGAACGGGGATCGTAAAACAGGAGGAAGATTTTACGGGGGTTGCTATTTGCCAAAGTTATCCTCTGCGGCAGTACGTATCCTGTTCGTACAAGAATTACTTCAAACACTTCTTACCACGCTTACTTTAAAAGCGGGTGAGAAGTTAACCAGTACTGAAGGTACAATCCCCATTGAGGAAATAGGGACGAAATTCAGGAACGAGTATGAAACAGTTGACAGTATCAGAACCGGCAAATCTACGATCCCCTCCCCTTCCTAGTGGCCGAAGATCCCCTGAGGTTGGTTCCACAACCAGGGCACAAATTGCCGTTGCGAAAAAATTCGGCAGAATACGACCTGCCGCCCTCGAAAGTTCCTCTTCTGGTACGACCTCCTTCCTATGCCCCGCCTCCTACCTATCATCTACCCAAATTCCCCGTTTCCCACCGCTTTCCCGAGTCCTTTTTTCCGAAGTATCTCAGTTCCACCCATTTATCCCTGCCTGCCGTCGAGCGGGGCCGGGGTGTATATAGCGCACCTGAAACGAAAAAAGGCCGAGAAAATTCACGACCGGAAACACTTTTGGGAAGGCAAATGCGACCTTCTCCCTCCAGCGACCAAATACGACCCCCTCCCTGGGAATCCCGTGCGACGTGCCCTGTCCACAACCAAAATGTACACAGCGCTGCGCCTGTACGAGCCCTCCGTGAGAAACACATTTTAGCCTTCAAATAGAAAGTTCCTGAAGAATGTCAATCCCAGAGGCGCAACTATGTCAAAACCTAATTTGGCCTCTCTGCAAGTACGTCTTTTCCTGGCCAAGGTTAATCCACAAGAAACTTCCCACGAGACAGCAAAGGAGATTGTCCTAACTGGGAAAGGGTCAGCGACCCAGGGTGGGAATATATCGGTAGTTAGACGTCATAAAATTGGTTTATGACATCCATCGGGCGCTAAGCGGTACAGCGCCTTTAAGTCCAGTTCGTTGCACAATATCTAACGGTCTTTCTAGAACAGGAAACGAGAGGAAGAAGGCACTTATTTCATGATACATCTAATTATTGTTGTTCAGTGGTGCAGCGGTGTCGGCGGCACTCAATAGGGGTGTAGCGCCCACAACCGGAAGAATTCTAACAAGTTGTTGGCCTCTCAATTCATTTCAGCCCCGCTGTGATCCCTTGGGATAGCGCCTCCGCGGAACCACCAAGACGAGACCAAAAATGAAGGTGGAACACAACTGAACCAGACCGTATAGCTCGCAATACACCCAGAAGCTATAAAAAATCAATAATCGTTCGGATGACTAATACAATGATTCCTATGGAGTGATGTACATAACACATGGTACGTTTACCATTGCGCCTATTTCTGTTGGTGCGTAGCCGGGCGGACCGAGGAACGGACGGCCGGTTGCCACGCCCATGCTCAAAGCTCCAAGGAATACATTGTTATGATTTATTACCCAATCTAAACTTGTCATACTGCATATTGGATCACAAACGACAACTGGTATTGTCTGGGTCAAATCGTTAGTATCGCGGGATTCGACAGAGTGGACCAGGGTCGAACTAGACTTCGAATTGGCCAAATTTACGGCAGGCTACAAGCATACAAGCATGAGTATGGGTGAAACACCGGTGTCAGTACGAGCCCCCCCCCCCCTGAAAGTTCCTCCGATGGCACGGTCCTCTCACAACCTACCTATCACCGTACAAATTCTTACAACTCCCCCTTTTCCCTCTGTAAGAAAAGACTGTCCAGGAAACTTTATCAGTTTTCCCTCAAGAACTGGTATTGAACGGAGGAAGAGAGGGGGTAAGCGCGCTTGAAAAAAATCAACAACTGGAAAAATTTCTCTCCCGATTTGGGAATTTTCTCACAATTTCAAATAGTGCCCTCCTCCCCAGCAACAGAATACGGCCCCCTGATGGAATTCTTCCAGCGATGCTATATCCTAATTTACAGACCATACATATTAGAAGCGATCAAGTTCTTGCTAGGAGAGTTAGAAGAAAAAAGCGATAAAAGCAATCGAAACACGACTCTCACTTTCTGCAATTGCACCACGTACACAAATACGCATATAACTTTTCCAAATGTAGAATCAGTTGATTAACTGAATGGTTCTGAAAGCTTCAGAATACACGATACATCTGGTGGTAAGATATAGCACAAGCTGGTTCCCAGCCAAGAAACCAAACATAACACCGAATGCGATCTTGGCGCGAGGGCCAGAAAAAAAAGTTGCGCAAAGAAAACGACTTTCTCATGTAGATACACATAAAACAGCGTCAACAACGTTACGCAGATTGTTTTTGAAGTAGAAAGGGAGGAAATAGCGACGTGTTGTGTGCGCTTATATGTGAACTAGTTACTGCCCACCCACGTAGATACTACTACAGTAGTCGGTGCGTACTCATGAAAGCTATGAGAGAGGGAAAGTCGAAAGGCCGGTGGGCGAAACTCAAAAAACCGGCTAGAATTCAAGAAAATTCCGAAAGAGGGTTGCATAAACGTGTGTGGGCGCGATTGAGTGTGGTCTGAGGAGTGATGGTGCTGTGAGGAGGAGGAAAATAGCGAAGAATGAATGAGGGCACTGCGCACCAGCCCATTAGACGATCGATCGATATCCGCACAGGTGGGGTTCGAAGGAACGGCTTTGGGAACTGCCACACAGACTGTAGGCTATATATGGGAGCAGCTTCAGACTCCCAAAAGGGTTACCCTTGAGATGAGAGCGATCAAGATGAAGATGAAGTGTGAACGTTATTAGCGGATAATGACAATGATAAGCGCCGAAATGGGGAAAAAATCGCCTCGGCGGCCACTTTTCTGAGAGATGAAATCGATCACCCCTAAAGTGGTCCTATTGCATGAAAGAATGCATTGTGAACGAACGCCTGCCGGCTGCAGCGTTCTGGGCCAAAGAAGATCGGCCGCAGATGGACGAAATGGCGAGGGAAGACCAATAAAGGGGCAAAGCTGCACCGTGTCTATGGTGCACGGACCATTTAGTACTCCATCAAGCTAAGACTCACTTTTCAATCCATTTGGCACGTTCTAGAGGTGTACGGCAGGCGTAGTATGTGTTAGCGACCCGGAAACAGTTCGGTACATCCAATACTGACGGATGAACTGGATGTAATCTGGCGTCCTCACCTAAAAAGAGATCCATAAAAAATCAACCATGACATTAGCCTCAATTCGGTGGCCGTCACTATGGCCGTTGACACGCTCGCGCGGATAGCGCCATCCGATCTTTGGTCCATCACATCGATACCCCGGTAAGAAGGTGATACGTGTAAAAACGTTACGCGAAACGGGGTCAATGGGACCCTTTGTCGATGACGAACCGATTGAACGGGGGCGCTTCGATTCACAGAACATGTCATGTTCACAATCAATCATCTCAGCCTCTCTTATTGTCATCACTATTACAGTAACCTATATGCCATACTGATTCGGGGATATGGTAATCACCTATGTAGGGCATTACATTACCCTGGTGTGATGTAATTGGCATTTGTCCAGCGGGTTAGTAAACTCGGCCAAGTCTGTCTTATGGCCTCACTAGATCACACCGTCATTCATTTGTAAGAGCCTAGAATGTACTAGTATTTATTGATAAAGGCGAGACTGTTTTAGAGGAAAAATAATAATTGAATTCAATAAAAAATGCTCGATTAGGCTTTAACTATTTTGTTGTTTTCCTGATTGAAGCTAGGCGCTATCGGCAAAGTTGGGGATATTTCCCTAGGCTTGAAACTCGTTGAGAATGGCTGCTCTCGTTATAACACTCCCTCTTCTTTGAGATCTTCAAAGGCACATTCCGCAATAACTGAGTGGGCGGAGACCCACAGTTACGTAATGCCTGTCTTGGTAAAATCCTCCCTCGAATACAGCGAAAAGAATGAAATAAACTATGAAGATGGCATAACGGCTGGTGTTCCCGCCCATCCAGCCATCGCGGAATCTGCCTTAGTCTGCCGAATAAATCAGAAGTCTAGCAAAATGTATTTTTTCGTTGAAGGAGGATTCTTCAGTTAGGAAGTGGAACTTCGAAG